GGGGGGGGGGGCTCCTCCATAAATTGACAGAACCTGAAGTGTAAGAGACTTTGTCCTCCTTTCCTCCTTTCATGACTAACCAATTACAATTGAACCAAATAAAACCATTCATTTCATTATATTATTATGAAATGAAACTATCAGATTTGGAAAACTGATTTTAAGAAGCAAACCAAAGAAATATGAAATAATAAAGTTACTTCCCCCCCCCTTCCTTGAGTAAAGGGATGGGGAAAAATTGAATATTGCATTAATCTCTGTGGCAATAAGCTGAGGAAGGAAGGAATGTCAAAAGAAGAGAAAATGGCTACGTATAATAACATGCTTCTGTCCACTTTGTTATACGGTATTGACAATTACGTGTCTCAGGAGAAATATAAAAGCTGAATGAAGTGGGAATGAATTACTTAAGAAGTCTATATGTTGAAAAAAGAGAAAGGGTCCAGAACAAATGGGTGATGAATTATGTGGACTGAATGTAAAAGTGAGAGACCAATAGATTGGAATGGTTTGGTAATCTAGAAAGAATGAGTATTAAATTACAAAATGAAAATGAAGGAAGAGACAACTGAGAGAGGAGAAGAAGAAGACTGAGAAAGCTGCGGTTGGATGGAACTCATGAGATCCTAAAAAAAGGGAGAGGTGAGAAATTTATTCTTTACATTTATTAATTGATGCATGATATGATGGATGTGTCAGTTTTAATACAGGCACAGCTTGATTCAAGACTTTTCAAATATGTGACCCCCCCCTCACAACTCTGCCAGTAACTAGTTGAAAGTAAAGCCTTTGAGAACTCAGCATGATTAGATAAAACGTTATTATAGACTTGAAGAAGTCATATTTATGGAGAAGATCAGCTACTACAGAATACAGGAATCCAACCATCCATATATATATGGGGATATATATCCATCCATATACTATATATGGGGATATGTGTGTGTGTGCGCGCCCGTGTGTGTATACACACATATGCACACACACAGGTGGATGGATGGATGGAGAGAGAGAGAGAGATTTCAGCTTCATGTTTTAAATTCCTATCCTTTTCTGATAGATTTTTCAGTTTTTTCCCCAGCCGGGAAAGTGGAAAGCACCTACCCTTTGTTTGTATAATGGTCTTGAATGGCTGAGGCTCTTAGTTTCCCGCCTTGCCAGCTTCGGTTCTTTCAGGAGACAAGAATAATTTGCAAGGATAGAAAGATATTGTGAATGGCAATGGTATAAATTAGATTTAATTGGATTTTCTTTTATTTACTGACTTTAATTTTTCATTCACTATTAGTATTTCTTTTTTGCATTTTGTATAATGCTGCTTAATCCTGAAAGGGAATAGCATGATAGGTATGTATGATGTATGCTAATGAAACAAAAAGGATTCAGGAAAGAAAAAGTTGATAAATTCATTTGACAGAAAGCAGCCAACATTCCTTATCATAACTCTGATCCTGATACCTGGTAACATTGTATCAGTGAAATGCATGAAATGCAGAATTAGGAAGCAGTATTAAATGAGGGATGATAAAGTCATAAATTCTTTGTGTGATTCTTAGATAGGCTGTTCTCTGGAAAGTGAGAAAAAGTTGTTAAAGAAGACAAATATTCCAGACATCAAGAGTAGAGTTTTGCCTACATAATTATACTTTAAGAAAATGTACATTGATGAAGTTGTTTATCAAGACATCTCAGCTGAACAGTTCACAAATATATGACAAACCTGAAACATAAACTGTTAGATAAATATTAGATTAAGAATAGAAGGGGGATTTATGCTGAAGCTGTTTAGCTCTTCAAGATGCAAACCTATGTTTTTCTCTTAACCACATTTTTCATGTTTTGGATAGGTTAAGCAATTTTTTAAATAAGCCTTGATGCATAAGTACAAAAGTTGTTTCACTGTTGAATCCTTTGCCATGCTAGACTAACTTTTAATTTTTGTTTTACAAAAACCTATAATAGAATTATGCTTTAGTAAAACAGACACTTTTTGTCTCAGTGAATAATTTAAAATCTTGCACATTTAAAGATCCTAAGAAGATATACATTCCCAGAGGAATTTGTTAGTGTACTTTAAAAACCCTATTGAGTATATCTTGTAATGACTTAACAGAAACAGAAATATACATGGAAAGGTTTGAATATACAGGTAGTCCCCAGTTCAAGAATAAGTTCTGTTCCCAAGGTCTGTCCTTAAGTTGAATTTGTATGTAAGCTGGAACAGTATTATTGTATAATACTGTATAAATAGTATTGTGTAATTAACTTGAATCATTGTGTATTTAACTCGAATTTTGCCATGATAGGCTCTGTTCTTAACTATGGGTCATCCTTAAATTGGGCATTTTTAACCTGAGGACTACCTGTATAGCAATCGCTCATAATACAGAAACTTTAAACTACAATCCTTGGAGTCCCTACTCATGGATCATACATGCTGGAGTCTTGTGGAAATTAATAAATTTTAAAAAATACATATAATTAATATAATTAAACAAACAGATGAATAAACTGATGTCCAAAAGATCCATTTTGATTGCTTTAGATTTTTTTTCTTGTGCACTCTGAAGCAAATGACAGTAATATATATTCTGACACATAAGTTCTATACAGCAATATAATTAAATAAGGGAAATGTGGCCTATGGCTGTCCTCCCTGGCATAATTCCTTCCCACATAGACATTATGGTTTGAAGTCTCTGTTTAGTATACAGTACTCTCATCAGCTAGATTTTCTAGAAAGAAATCTCAGGAATGGAAGACATTCTTCAGCCAACTGTGTCACAGTAGAGCCTTGGTTCATTAACCTCTCTGTTTTACCCAAACCTAAAAGCAGTTTTGTCATGAAACTCGGAAGAAGCTGTTCAGGAATATAAAAACAATGCCAATGTATTAAACTTAATAACAAGAACAATAATGTCTGAGAGCCTAGATAATTTTCAGCAACTATTCTCTCCTTTTGAATTAATTTCAACATACCTATTATGCAGTTATACCCATTAGAAAACAACTGTGCATTCAAACCACCATCTTCCCCTCTTCAGTGAATTGAGAAACTATTATGTGCAACTTATGTTTGTAAAACTGGAGTTCCTTGCTACACACATAGACACACACACATACTATTTTACCTGTGCCACCATATTTATCTGCCATGTTGATATCGGTGACCAGTTTCAGTTTCAACATTGTCTGGATGACATCATCACTGCCTTTGCCAGCTGCCCACATAAAAGAAGTTCTTCCCTCTAGGTCTGAGTCATCTTTCACAGAAGGATGTTTAAAAAATGTTTCTACTGTTTCCTACAACAGAAACACTCACTGAGTATGGTTGGTTTTGAAATGAATCTGAAATATGACTGAGTATTCAAATTATAAATGAAGAAATGTACTTGAACACCATTTTCTTTAAGAAATAAAAATTATGTCTCATTGTTCAAACCTATTACCTTGATAGTGATAAAAAAGCAAATGATTGTTTAATATTCCAAATATCATCAAAATTGATTAAGTACTGTAATGCATTTCAGTCAAATGTAAAATTAAAATTAAAAAAAAAATTTAAGTCTTTCCAATTTTTAAAAATTTTTTATCCATATGTCTACATATCAGTGTTTAGAATGGTATAATATTCAAATGTATATGAATACTTCTTAGTGAGAAATGAGATCATAGTTACATTTATCCTGTTTTTCAGGTTTGAATATTATCACATATATAAAGATCCATAGTTGGGACCGACCAAAATGGCATAAAAGAGAAAGCTCACACATTCTTTTGTACCATTTGGTTAGATTCCAACAAAGTTACTATGTAGTTACGGTTCTGAAACCTTTTTCAAGGACCAACATTGCCATGATTCTTTTAATATGTGCAATACTCTAATGGCTGATTATTATTATATAAAATGATCTCCAGCTGTACATATAGACGGTCAAATTTGACAGATGAACTGCTAGTCATCCCTATTATTGCCTTGTTCAAAGGCCTGGAAATGGGCAGAAAAGAGATCAGGATAAATTTGTGTTACAGTAAATCAGCAAGGACAGCGTAAACAGCATCAACTGAAAAGCTCACCCCATCTAAAATTAAGTTACTAAAATTCCTTTGGGGAGGAGACCATGAGTAGATTTGAACATCAAAGGATCAGAACAGATTACCATAGTACTATATAATTCAAGTTGATAGAATGTAGTAAGAAAAGACCCAAAATTTGTAAGTGATTAAAGATTTAATGCCAATCAAAATAGTAAAAACAAAATTTCTCTATAACTCAGAAAAGAAGTTATTAAATTAGGTGATCAGGAAAAAGCAACACAATCCATAAATATAAACCAATATAGTGATGATTGCTGTTTAAAAAGTAGAGCATACAAACCTAAACTCTGTCCAACATTCAGCTAGACTGTTCCTATCCACCCGGAAAGTACTATAAAACTGTTAGGGAAATATTTTGTCTGCATTTCATGGTAGGCAACAAACTTTGCTTGTTAATAGGTAATGAAGTTGGTATAGAACATGTCATTGAATGACAGGTTATTTACCTGAATAGCTACTTCCCTAGCTCAGCAGATAGATAGCACATATGCTAGCAACTATCTCTCCCCCATCTCTGCCCTTTTGGCCACCCTGTATTCATCTCCCCTGCTGTCCTGCACTCTACCCTGCATGCCTGCTGCGCTGCATTCTGCCGCACCTGCCACCCTGTGCTCTGCCCTGCACTCCCACTGCCCTGCACTCCATCGCTCCTGCTGCCCTGTGCTCCACTGCCCCTGCTGCCCGCTGCTGCTGTGCCCAGCCTGGCCCTTCCCAAAGGCTTCTTCCCAAAGCCTTGCACAGTCTTCCTGAGCTGCCTTGCAAAGGGCCAGGCCGGGTGTGCCTCGTCAGCAGTAAGAGGAAGAAGACAGAGAAAATTGGCTGGGGGTGGCAGAGCACAAGGGAGCAGGGGTGGCAGAGTGGAAAGGGCAGCAGCAGTGGGGGAGGTAGGGGCGGTGGAGCGCAGGGCGGCACGGCAGCAGGGGCTGCAGAGTGCAGGGCAGCAGGAATGTAGGGCAGAGTGCAGGAGGGTGGGGTGGTAGGGGTGGTGGAGCACAGGCTACCAGGGTGGCAGGGGTGGCGGAGTGCAAGGCAGCCCAAAGGGCAGAGATGGGGGGAGAGAGGCAGGTGGGGGGAGTTGAAACAGAAGTGAGCACTGCAGGGCAGGAGAAGTGTGAGGTCCTGGCCTACCAACTGCAACCAGGACTACTGAAACTGCTATTGTTAAGCAATGTGATGTTCTGCCTAATGACTGCATCGCTTAGTGATGGAAATTCTGGTCCCAATTAGGGTTGTTAAGTGAGGATTACCTGTAATACCAATGTTTAGGCATAGGCCCTGAAAAGGGCCTTTCCCAATCCCAAATCAAATGGATTACAAATGTACGAACCAGGCCACAGAATTAGGTTCATCTAAGACAAGATGTTCCTTCTTATCGAGAACTGTAACGATTTTAATCAGAATTAAAATGGTCACTACATGGGCAGATCCTGGATTTTTTCCATATAGAACAAGTAGCAGCTCTCCAGAGTTTCTTAAACTTTTCTTAAGAATCTTTTCTTAAACTTATGTGGAGAAGTTAGGGATAATCATTCTATCTTTGAGTTACTGCTCTTCCCTTAAATTTGTGGTAAATATTCTATAAGTAGCAGTAATGGAATCTGGAGGGGTGGAGTGATGGATATACTCGTTCATTATCTGGCACTCTCTTTGCTTTCATATTATTGATTAGACATCTAATTTCATCAGTTAACATAATAACACTTAGCATTTCTTGAATCTTAATTTATACACATAATTTCAGAACTAATCCTGGAACTGCAGTTATTCTTAGAACTGCAGGTTTTTAAAATCTGATTTATCTGTCATTTAATAATAATAAAAAAGACCTGATAGTTTAAGAGAACTACTTTATTTCATAGTTCTGGGGGCTAAGCATCTTGTATATTAAATTTACCAAGGCAGAGAGGCCTGACCTTAAGAAATTAGTGTCCTTGGCTTTTCTTTCTCAGTAGGTAAACCTGGGATCCAAACAACATCTAACATTTTCAACATCAGTCACAAGCAAATTGTTCCTACTAATGCAATTATTCAGAACACTGTGACCGGCAAGTATTGTTTTTCCCTGGACTTTTAATTGATCCACACACTAGAAAATTTCTCTTAGATCTGTTTAAGAGTATTATTAGTTTCTGTAGTTAATGCTTGGAGAAAAGACATAGATTCTTCAAAGCCTTTACTGTAATTGGCAAAGGATATTTTTTTGGTACTATGGATGGAAGTGACATAACTAATGTTGAAACTGCAGCAAAATCTTTTTTGGCTCTAGTGATATCTTTAGAGCAAAATAGAATGTAAATATCCTTACTTTACCACAATGCAGGATTTAATGTAGTTTTAATAGAAACTAATCAGGAGAGAAGAGGGATGTCAGATTCAGGCTGGCTCAGCACACGCTATTCAAGCTAGCCGCCATTCCACCTAGCTAAATTCAACCGCCGCCTGGTCAGCTTCCTTGCCTCAGGCGCAGGCAATCGAAAGAGGAAGTGCTAACCGCAAGTAAAGTGCCAACAGGTGGCGGCAATCAGCCCGCAGTAGGATTCAATTACTTTGTAACAAGCGGGACTTCTCCCAGCCGCTGCAGGCAAGCAGCCGACAATAGAAACAAAGGGCTCTGCAGCTAGCCTCACAGGACCTGCCTCGTGAGCAAGACAGCCGAAAACAAAGGACCCTGGCTGAACCTGCCATCGGACCGAGGCGGGGAGAGCCAGGGGCGAGGGGTGAGGCAAGGGTGGGCAAAGGTGGGCAGGGACGGTCAACAGGCGGGACTTGCTAAGCGCGGGAACGGGGAGACTATAAAATGCTATGTAACCTGTGCCAAGCCAACCCTGGCTTTGTTTGTAACCACCTGCATTACACCTGAGTAAAATGTTTTTGTACGAGCCTGCATCTCACGGAGTCTTTATTCGGCAATGAATGTGGCAACTCTTACAAGGGAGACAGCTGGTTATATTGTCAACTCTAACAGGAAGTCAGTTAGGATGAGGAATAGCAGACGTTTTCTCTTTTAACTTTAGGAGGAGGAAAGAAATGCTGACTATCAAGGTCCAGAAGTAACTGGCAAATTGCGCAAGCTATGGCCTTTCCTATTGATCTTGGAACATCAGTGTGATGGAAATACATTTAGCCAGCCAACAAAACCTACTGGGTTCAGACTGTGCAGATTCCATTCACTGATCCCTTCACAGTTTTCTGCTCCCTTAAACTCTCTCTTTAAAGTTAATTTCCTTTATGAAATTTGAAGATTCTGGATTTGTAGTGCTACTTGGTCGTAGGTAGAATGTATCACTGATTTCTAATTCTACTAATCCTATTGAGTTCTAATCCCAAACTGTCTCTAAGAAGACCTGGTCTGATTCCATTGGGGGACTTTTCTGACAGTATACTATCTCATTTTGAAAGCGCTGGCCCACCTTGATTCCAATTCCAGAGAAAAAGCTTTCTGAATGTGACATTTCCTGTTCTCCATTGAAGCATGTGGATTCAGCAATTAGCTCTTCTTTGCTCATTTGCCATTACTGAGGTAATTCTGATTTGTTTAATTTCCTCCACTCTTTAATGTATTTAAATTCAATAGTTACCACATTTGACCCGAGGCTATACAGCATACACAAAAAGGAAGTCTGTAAAAACAGCTAATCACAGTAGCAAGTGACGCAGAAGGAAGAGGACAGACAATAAAAGAGAGACAAACTTCAGGTGTACCTCATTGTATGGCCTCCACAGAAAGCCCCCTTCTCAACAATTATTCCTTCACTACCTTCACACTTAGATATCCCAAATGATCACTGGACAAAATTGCCCATGGACCTTGTCTTAGCCTACTGTGCAATGAAGAATGAGCTCCCCAAAGGAGACTACAATCAAGATCATCCTGTATGGACTTAGGAGAATGAAGACACTGCTATGTCTTTGTCCAAGCATCTGTGAGCAACACTACCCATAAATCTGATTGAGATTCTATGTCAACAATTCATGCAGTGCACAATTCATAGAAAACTGACTTTCATATAATGCTCTTAGGCCTGAGATCATGCAAGGGTCACAAGTTTGTTTGAAGTGTCAATCAATGTGCCTGACAACTCTAGCTGCACTCTTCATCAATGTACAAGGCAAATAATCCATTATTAAGCATTAGTTTAATATTACTGGCATAAGGTTAGCTTAGTAATGATTAAGTCCAGGCCTGAGTAATGGCAGCCTATAAACCAGGATTACCCCTTAAAACAATTGCCTAGGCTCTAGAAACATCAACATGTAAACAAGTTTGATTAAAAATGTTCACTGATTCGCTTTTGATGAAATAAAGCAGTAGGTCTCTGTAAATTTCTTTTATCAACTATACTGTAGCATTACCAAATCCATATTAGGAAAGGTAAAACATTACATTCAACTTCTCTTTTGAGAGTACATTTCAGTTTCCCACAGCCTACAACTGTAATCATCATCATTATCCTCATTAGTTCAGTGCCATCTGAATGCATGCAATCTCAAGATTTGTGAGAGACTTCCTTACTGTAAGAGAGATTATTATAGTTCTTGACCATTTTATGAGGACACTGCATTGTTTTGATCAGATAAGAGATTATAGCTGTCCCAAATATACAGAAATTGTGCTTCTCTGTCCTTTTCCCTTTTATTCTTGCTGACAAAAGCCACAAAGATAGGTAAGAATGGGCATAGAAAACTTTTAGGACCAAGTTTTACAGTTAGAATTATCCAAATATTTCAGTTTCAAGATTTGTCATCATACTGCAGTTGCAAGAAGGAATGTAATACAATAGATATAATTGTGTGATACTTTAAATATTCAAGAATCTGCACAGTGCAATGCAGCTTAGTGCAATGAAGCAGTTCAACAGTATACAGCTGTTTCCCCCAACAGGAGTCAATTCAGAAGTGCTGGCTATGAATTATAAGAGAAGTATGAATTACTGCCCAGCGTATCTGGAGAGCAGTAAGTTGAGAGGCTGTATTGCTTGCCCCTTCCCTGCTATTGTTTAGGAAGTCCCTCAAGACCTGGTTGTCATCAGGCCTGGGGAACCAGAGACATTCTTAGATGGCTCTGCTATAATTGATATTCTGCTCTCTCCGTGGGGTTTGTATATTTTAAATTTTTGGATAATATTTCCATTTTAATAATTACTTTTTATCTTTTTACAATGATTTTTTTAATCTATTTGCTGTTTTCTTAATTGTTGTATGCTGCCCAGAGTCACTTTGTGTGAGATGGATGGCTATATAAATGTGACAAATAGATAAATAAATAAAATTGTAGGACAAATGCTGCATTGTTAATATGAGTGTTCCATTTTATTCCAGATCCTTTCTGTAAACTGCCCAGAGTTGCTTTTTAATGAGATGGGCAATGACAAATTTGATATAAATAAATTGTAGTGCTGAAGTCAAGCACATCAAGAAGGAAACAATATTTCAAACATGTCTCAAAATTTTTCCAATCAAAGAGAACACTGGAACAAATGAAATTATGAAAAATACTATTTTCAACTTAAAAAATATGTTTTTTTGCAACCTTTAATATGGAAAAGCACAGCCATAATAACTAGATCAGTTAAAAAGGTTCAGTTTTATTCAGGGTGACATTTTAAAGTAAACTGTTTATCTCACTTACAGAAAAGTTGCTTTGTGCTGCATAATGTAAAGGTGTTGCCCCCTGACTATCGGACAGGATTGTTCCAACTTTGTTTCTTTCTAAAAGAATATGGACAATCTGTGCGTGACCTAAAAAAAAACCCAGAAAAAGCACATATTAATATATGAACAATACAGTATACTTTTATTCTAATAGATGAGCACTAGATTTTTCCTCTATGACAGAACATATACAAATTAAATCTAAAAGTCAAGTCTAAATCATACTTAGTTTAATTAAAATTATGGGCTTGATCCAGACATAGAATAAATAAGAGGCCTCTAATTTTGGGATGTCTATATGCACACTGAGAATTCTGAGAAACTTCATGCAGCAGAGATCTAATTAGGTCACAAAGTGTAAGCAATTCTTCAATGGATGAAATGAATGCAGGACAGCCTCTGCTTAGAGGTAGGCCTAGCAAAAATTGAATGTTTAATTTTTAGATAAAGGTGAATGCTGCACAACAAGGCACAGTCTCTTTAACATAGGTAGATCCTTTCCATGTATCTTGGAAACTGAATGTTGAGCAAAACATGTTGCAGAACAAACTTTATTGCCCATGCTTGTGCGAATGGGCTACGACAAGCAAGAAACATTGAAATAGACGCTTAGTTATCCAGATACACAGGAAGACTAAGATAGAATCTCTCCAAGTGCAGAAGTCAAATTTGGTCACATAATTTCCAGGTAACATGATTTCTCAAACAGTTGAGAAACTCAAAAAGAGTAAGCGTTCACTTTTCAGCCTTTTCACACTAGCCCTTTAGCTACTTGTATATGAATACTCCCCTCAGTGAAAGATTCTGTGCATGAGGGACAGGTAGATAGCAACACTGGTCATGTCTTTGTGTTTTGACTCTTCTATTGACACATCTGTAACACCATGCTAGAACCTTAAAACAAAGAATTGCAATTTTTATGTAAACTATTTGCAGGTGAGGACTGTACAATCACGTGGCAAGTAGCAACATCTTGTTGATAGCCTACTGGGCACAGCAGTGTTAACACAAGAAAGTGTAGGAAAATGGATATTGGTGTTCTCCCTTTTATTATTGTATGTAATGATTATATGTAATTTTATGTAATCTATATATTTTATTTTATTACTTGAACCAATATAATGCATTTTTATATTTGCGTGAGAGTGAAAGTGTATTGATTAAATGAATGCAGGTGAGAGATTGGGCTTGAGCCCTAAACACCTAGCCATTTATTTGATCCCACATAACAAAACTTGTGATATCAAGATTATACATCTGCCTTAACCAAACACCTACACAGAAAAATGAGAATCTCACTTTCCAAATCAAATATATAGAGGCAAAACTATTCTTGAATCTCACCCTTGAAAATGTAACCGAAGGACATACTCCTCTGATTGCTGTTCCCTTTTCCCTTTTCCAAACTGCTTTCCTCAAGTGTTTTCCCGGCCCCAGTTGGAAAATATTTTTTAAAAAATATTTATTTAAATAATAAAACCAATGTTTTAGCTAGCTCGTTGGGCTTGTTGAATGCTGAACCCCCAAACTGCTTTCCTCAAGTGTTTTCCCGGCCCCAGTTGGAAAATATTTTTTAAAAAATATTTATTTAAATAATAAAACCAATGTTTTAGCTAGCTCGTTGGGCTTGTTGAATGCTGAACCCTAACCCTAACCTTCTTTTATTATCCAAGAATGGGAATCACAGAAGAGTGGAAGGAAAGAAAGAGAAAGCTAGAATAGATTTCATTCATTCATTCATTCATTCATTCATTCATTCATTCATTCATTCATTCAATTTGTATGCCGCCCATCTCCCCCAGAGGGTGACTCTGGTTGACTCACAGTTTGAGTAAAACCTGAAAACAATTAAAAAAATAAATACCCACATTAATTAGTTAAAAAGTCAGACTATATAAAAAAGAACCTATACATAAAAAAACTAAAAACATTCAAGATGACGGGGGTGGGGTAGAATCAATTACCCCACAAGCCACTTCCACTGCTGCGAGCCCCTATCTGGCCCCTAGGCCATCTGGCATAGCCAAGATTTCATGCTCTTCCTGAAGGCCATGAGAGTGGGGGCACATTGCACATTGGGTGGTAAGTTGTTCCACAGAGCGGGGGCCACGGCAGAAAAGGCCCTCTTCCTAGACCCCACCAGTCAAAATTCCTTGACTGGTGGGGTCCGCAACATGCCCCTTCTGCCGGACCGAGTGGGGTGGGCTGATATAACAAGGGTGAGACGGCTCCTCATAACCTGGTCCTGTGCCATGAAGGATTTTAAAGGTAATAACCAACACCTTGAATTGGACCCAGAAGCAAACCAGCAACCAATGCAGCTTGCGTAACAGAGGTGTTATGTGGGCCCTCTGGGGGCATTCAGAACTGTCCACGCTGCTGCATTCTGCGCCAGCTGTAGCTTCCAGATACTCTTCAAGGGTAGCCTCATGTAGAGCGCATTACAGTAATCCAACCGGATGACCAGGGCATGAGTGATCGTGCGGAGAGCCTCCCAATCCAAGAAGGGGCATAGCTGATGCACAACACGAAGTTGTGCAAAGGCTCTCCTAGCCACAACTGCTACCTGCTCTTTGAACAGGAGTCATGAGTCTAGGAGGACCCCCAGATTACACACTGGGTCTCTCTGGGGTAGTGTGACCCCATCAAGAACCAAAAATGATAAACTTCTAGAGCCAAAGATGATAAACTCCTAGATAGCTAGAAGCTATAAATCTACTTTCTAGAATAAATCATATTTGATTTTTTTTTGTTTAAAGTTAAAATGGGAAGACAGGAGGCTCAGCAGGTATCTATTATACTGTGCCAGCCTTTCTTTCAATGGATTTACATTAAGCACAACTAATTTTAGATCTAATCCAATATGGCAAGTTTGTAAGCATTTGATTGCCTCACTGACTTCAATGAAACTAAACAAATTTAGCCTGGACTCATTTTAACAGTGAGAGCATAACAGGGATAGTTATAGCTGACATACTTTGGATGGTAGAATACAGTAGCTGCTTGTATGGATTTTATAGTCTTTATTGATTGGAGGCAAAGTTAACAACACTTTGCTCATATCACAAAAAATCTTTGTATTAAAGTTATGGACCGTAACCTACTGTGCTGGTCCAAGTTGTTAGATATTTTTTGACTGTCCAGTCTAGGGCTGAGACAGATTTACTCACTCAAACATACCCAACTGGCTTCTATATTTAAGGGAAGACTAGAACCTAGGTCTCCTTGCTCCTAGTCCAGCCATACAGGCACACAGACACATAGATATGTGTGTTCCTGTGTGCATAAGGAAATGAAAATATATTCAAGAGTGATAGTATTGTTTGAAATGGCTATATTTTTAAAAAGTCTGGTCATAAGATTCTATATAAAACTATGTGTGATTGGATTATGAAATAAGCCATCATGGATGAACCTGAAGCTTAGAAAAATAGATCCCACCTTGACTCTTCAAAATGACAATCAATTAAGCTGTGGATACTACAGTAGCAATCTCAGGTAAGATGGATTACTTTGCCAATATCCCATTGCCCATTTTCTGCCATGCATGGAAACAAATATCTCTGGAAGGCAACTAAGAAACCCCAAGCAGATAATACAGTAGCTTCCTTTAAGCTTTTCTCTTGCATTCTGTCTGTGGAAATGTTGAACTGGCTTACAAGAATATAGACCAGAACTCAAGGCCAGAACAATTGATGGAATAATATTCAACTATTTATAAAATTCTCTAGAACTGCCAAGAATCAAGGTATGGTATTAATGACTAATTTGGCAATCTATTTTTGCAGCTTACATCCCTCCATAAAGCTTACAGATTAAGGCTGTCCAGAATTTTAGCCCATATTACCAACTAAGCCTGAGGTAACTGCATTTGCTCACATTCATCCTCTGCTGTATTTGCTTCTCCTGCTAAGTAGTAATGTGGAAAATGCAGATTGCAAGGATCCTCAATTCAGGGATTTTATAATGTAAAACACTGTGTAGAGAAAGCACACTATGTTATTAAAAACAATAAATTAAGGAAAGGCAGTAAATATGGGCTCTCTGATTTGCTATACATTTAATTATTCGAAATAACATTTTCTCATTTTCCCCACTGACTCAAAATTACTGTAAGTGGGTGAATGGGTGAACTATGAATGGGTGTCTACAGTGTCTAGTAATTCCAACCATTAAGAATTGTTCAGGGACAAACAGCATGATTTGTTGTTGCCTGGGATTAAATTCTGGAATGTTTTGAGATGGTTAGCTCTAAAATTTTATTGGAATATTTTAGGATTTAGTGAATTCGAGGAGTGCAAATGTCTCAACAGGGGGTGCAGGGAATAATGAGCTGAGAGAGGGGGAGGAGGCAGGAACCATTTTTTCTTTAATTTCCTCCTCTATTTCCTTCTCCAGCTACAATGGCACTGGTGCTGTTACCGTGTACCTGTCAAAACTCCTATCAAGTTAGCAGCTCAGCCAGAGAGAAAACAATAGCTATTTGTGAACAGCCCAGAAAAAGTAGGCTGACTGGAGGAAGAGATGTTAGCATCACCCCGGTCTTCCAAGTATATGTGTAATACTTTGCTACAATCATATAACCTGTAATATAATCTGTAAACTGCCTAGAGTCCTCTGGACTGAGGCAGGGATGAATTACAAATGCAAACCAACCAACCCACTGAAGAATGAGCTCTGAACTCATGCTACTAGGGACTCAAGATATGATCTGGATTTCTTTGACACATCATGCAGCTTGCAATCAACCTGTCAGGTGGGAAAAAGTGATCTTGGAAGTGATGTTGAAGAACCCAAACTTTCTGATTTACCCAAGAACTTCAACACCCAGAATGAGGCCAAATTATCCTCAGCATAATAGAATTCATGTCTACCATAGCAACTATGGAAATGCTTATCATTTTAAATGTTATTTCCCATGATTTGCAGACTTTACAATGCCTGAATCTATGCAGATAAAAACTTTAGTATATTATGTGAATCAGAAAATTTTAGAGCTGAAACAAAGATGGGATGCTTTAGATTAGAAAATGATGGAGCTGAAAACCTTACTGATTAATATCAAACAAGAATTATGCAGTTTGAAGATTCTGATAAGCAATAGCTGTTGAAACAACACTGAAAGTAAATCAAATTGAAGTGACCCACTTATATATTTCTTCAGAAATAATTTACAATTTTTAAACATTATTTGCAATGACAAGCAAAATCAGTTCATAGCAATCTTTGAGGATGGAATTATGTGAGAAATTTTCCCCCTGTAGCCAGAATATAAGTCTAAAATTGAAACTGCCTTCTGTGTGGGTTTCTGATTCCACTGAGTACAAAAGCCTAGTCCTATTGTAAGGAGATTTTGAGATCTATAGTATGAGATCATATCTTGATTTTATCTGGGCAGGCAGGATCTTTGGAATGGAATGCAAAGATAATAATTTTCTTTTTCTTTTGTTCATCTGTAGTTTCTGGTGTGAAGATGTTTTGTGACCCAGAGGCTGTAGAGAAGGTTATTGTTTTGGGTTCATCTGAAGCAAAGTCTTTTCCAGCATTTATATTTGTCATACCTAAAATAGAGAGATGGGCCATCTTTGTGTGAAGAAAGTTCTTGTATAATACTTTTAATACATCTCATCTGGAAGTCCCAGTACTAGTGGGTTTTTTTTGTTTTGTTCAGTTTCTTTTTTACATTTTTAATTTGGTTCTTTTTAGTCTTTTAATTTTTTTTCTAATTGGATTTTTTTTAGTTTAAATAGTTTGTTTCAGTTATATGAACATTTTTTCTTCCCCTTTGTCTCTCAGATTTTTATGGTTTTTATGTGCATTTTTTCATGTTGTCTTCAGTCATTTTGTGGAATGTAAAGATATTTTCTGTAGAAGATGAGTAGTTCAAGAATATTTGATGTGGGAAATGAAGGTGGCAGACATGGCCAGGAGGGTCTTTGAACAATACATCTTGTGAGACAATTGTACTCATTCCTGTATCAAGCGGCCCTACTCCTGGTCATTCATCTACTCCAGTTCGCTCCCATCTAGACTACTGCAATTCAGTTTACATGGGGTGCCCATGAACCATTTGGAAGCTGCAAGTGGTCCAGAAAGCAATGGCACAAGTACTTATGGATGCACTTTAGTGAGCTCATATAACATCACTGCCTTGCAAGCTGTACTAGTTCTCTATAAGCTTCTGTGTGCAATTCAAGATTCTGGTTATAACCTGTAAAGCCCTTCATGTCAAGGGTTGGGTAACTCATGGGACTGCCTGTCTTCAACTGTGTCTGGTCATTCCAAGACATCTGCCAGAGTGGGCATGCTTCAGGCCTCTTACATGAAACACTGTTACCTAGTAGGATCCAGGGGATGTGCCTTCTCTGTTACAGTACCTGCCCTCTGGAATGAGATCCCTCATTCATGTTGGTCCTACTCTGATGACATTCTGGAAGGCCCTGGAAACCTGGCTGTTCTCCCAAGACTTGGGTTAGGCTGGATGTGGTCCCCTTGCTAGATGTGTTTCTATCTATATAGCACATTGTTTGAATGCATGCTAATTTTGTTTACTTGTACTGTATTTTATATTTTCTAATTGTTGCTTGTTGTATATTGTGAGCTTCCCAGAGTCATCTTCGAGTCAGGTGATGTGAAATTTGATAGAAAAAATAAATATCCCTCCACCTCCCCCACCAAAAAACAACCCAATAACAAAAACAAAAACCTGGCTGATATGTGTTTTGATTTCATTCATAATAGGTTACTATAACATAACCTCTAACAGTCAAAGACACTTTGGATATTCTAAATCATGAAGAATATGTCAGTTAAAAATATTAATACTAACATAGGTATCATACATAAATTGCATCAGGTATACTAACTACTTATTCATTTCCAAATTCAGTTTAAAGTGCCCCAAATGTTTTGGTTGCATCCACATGAATCTATCCAAATTTTAATATCAGCACTTCAGGCCCATCAATAAAAACAGTGCAATTAGAAAATACAGTGAAGAAGCCTTTTCTGAGGTCAACCTGTTCTTGAAGAATATACATACCTAATATTTTATGCTATTTTAATGCCACTGTAATAATTGTAAGCATTGTGTCTTCATATAGTGAATGGTTGTCACCAGCATTAGCATCATCCTGAACTATGCCCAACTAAAGGCAACCTTTCTGAGCCAACGGGCATACTTAGGATGTCAAGATTACTTTGTGAAGTGGCTATCAGGGGGACTCTTGCTTACTTATAAAAAAATTGTCAACATGATCCCCTCCTTAATGACATTTGGCAAATGAGTCTTTGTAAAATAAGTTGAAGAAAAAGTAGTTTATATTTTCCCTGGGATTTTAATTTTGTTTTTAATTAGTTTTTTTAAATGGATATTTGATTGAAAAGATATTTTACTAATATTCATTGGTGTGAGCAGCCAGAGTCTGGTGAAATAGGCAGCATGCAAATTATGTAAAATAAATAAATAAGAATGAATAAAACTTGTGTTTGGCTGATCATGGAATATTCATTTACTACAAACTGATGAAGTTTCTCTCTTTTGGTTCCTCTAGCTTTGTCCCCGAGTCAATTCTGAGGCCAATTTGCATATTCCAATCCACTATGTGAACTAAAACACAAATTTCTTTCTATATTTATATATCTCTGAATTTTCAAACAGATTTCTAGTCCATATCAAAATTAGTACAAATACATATTTTAAGGATAAGTATTGACAAAAACGTGCATTTAAATGTGTATATGTAAAAAGAATGCAAAAAACAGTTTGCATAATGTGAACTTCCATACATTAGAGAAAACATGCACAAAATATTGATGCAGTTTTAAAAAGAGATTAGCAACTGTTGTGGATATAGATAATAAAAGATTGGAAGACTTGTTGATCCAATAGCTCTTACAGCTCTTACATACAGTTCTACTGCTACTTTCCTACACCCTGCAATTTATTTGAATAGCAGGTAGAAGAGACTATGGAGAGTTTTAAATCTCTCCTCTACGTTATCTCCCTTGTACTCTGTGCTACTCAACTAATCAGAGAAAAATAAGTGAATAGTATGAAAAAACTGTAAGGGCAGTTTGGGGCCTTGGAAGACTCTGAAAGCTATACCCAAGAGAAGACCCAAATTAGGTAACACTGCTGCATGAATCAATGGTCTAAGTTAGTCTCATGTTCATATTTTTCTGTCTCCTTCAAAGGAGCAAGCTCCTTCTTACTTGTCTCAGGATGCAGGCTCTTAATTTAGGAAAAGCTATATTCCACAAAAATTAGTTGACAAATATGTTCAAAAGGGTTAAGAATTTCTGCCATTTGTGATTTACCCAATAAAGCTGCCCAGTGAAGGGGAGTTCGAAATAAATTATCATAAGAAGACACGTTGCAACTTTCGTAGGATGTCAGCAGATCAACAACAGCTATATTCCCATCAGCAACTGCAAAATGGAGGGGAGTTCGTCCTTCATAATCTTGCCAGTTTAGCAGAGATTCAGTTGGAGCAGCATCCTGGTTTGTAAAAATGCCAATTAAATAAGATACAATGAATTTTTAGAGATGGCAGTAGGTACTTAAAAAGTCCTACTGGGCAAAGGTTCAAGCAGTAAATCAGGCAAAACCTAAAGCAAGACACTATTATAATTTTAAAAAATTAGAACTGCACCTACTGATGGTAATTAAATTTCAAATTTCTTTGGAACAAAATTGCACAAATATTTTATTTCTTAAGGCAGAGGTGGGCAACCCATAGTATGAAAATCTGCAACACCCTGAGATTCAAAGCATAGTAGCAAATTGCCGAATTTTGATGTTGCCATTTTTAAAAAGGCTTTTTGTTGCAAAAGTAAGGATAGGCGTGAAAATGAAATAACTCTAGGAAGGTGGGTGTTCTATATCCATTCCCACCCCTAAAAGTGGGGTGAAATTGTGCTGTTAAAATTTGGGGCAAAATAGCTGAATTTTGGTAGTAAGATTTGGGGGTAAAGTATGAAAATAAGGTATGGAAGTGGGAGAAGGGAGGTGAACTTGACATTTCCACCATTAACCTGTCCAAGCTCCTCCAAAATATAATAAAAACCAGGGCAAAATCTTCAGTTTGCACCTTTCTAATGACACCTCAGTGGATTGTTGGAAAGTGGATTTGACCCACTAGAAGTTGCCCATCCATGTTTTGTGGGGGGTACTTTTCCTGCTTTAATTAATGTTATAACACTTTACAATCTATACTTTTTTTCTTATTTTAAAGTTAGTAAATTTACATTCTAACTGACAACTCTAGTTCTCAAAGTGGCTTATGCTATTGATAAAATACAATCAATATATAAAGGTAAACAACCAGCCTCTATAACAGGAGCTGTCCTCTGATGATTTTTTTCCAGAAAAAAAATGTTTCCAGAAAAAAATGATAGATTGAAACTATCTATCCACATAGATAATCTAGCTAAAGGTAGATTTAAAGTTATTCCCCCCCCTCCCCTTTTTGGTAATTCTTCATGCATTACATTGGATCAGTTTCAGCTTGTGACAACCAACGATGTGGACAAGCAATTAGGATCCATATGTTCCACCATTTTTCCTCTGGATCTTTGTCCAACCTTGTTTGTCTGGCTGGAAAGCTCTCAATGATATTTCAGTTAACATCATAAATGCCTTTCTGAGGAAGTTCAAAATTAAAACAGACAATTATTAGGCCACTTATAGATATCTATGTATTGAATGCCTCAGGGATAAACAATTATAGCCAGTTTCTAATATTTCATGTTTGGGTAAGGTGAAAAAGAGAGTGGTAGCATCTCAGCTGTAGGAAGTCCTTGAGGAAACAGATTATCTTGATTTGTTTCAAAACGGTTTCATAGTCAGTTGTACAGCTGACTCTTCCTTGGTTGGCCTGAAGGATAATTTTTTGTTTGGTATTTGACAAACTGAATGTGACTTCGCTGGATTGGAAGCCACAATTCTAGATAGGGAGTAAATAAATCTGTACTGAATAGGGGCACATTCTCCCAGAAGGTGAAGTAAAGAGTTTGATAGTGGTAGAACTCAAATCATACATACATACATACATACATACATTCATACATTCCCCTACTCCCTCTACCCTACTTACTTTGCGTGACTGGTTATTTTTCTAGGCAACTCTACACATTAGTCTAGCAAAGCTGCACTTTTGTTAAATAACTTTCCCCCCATATCTGAGGATTACAGGAGCATAAAGCATAACATAATGGTATTTCCAAATGGGTAAGACTGGAAATTTAATCTTTTTCTTTTTTTAAAATGATCACCTGTAGTGAGGAGCAGCTGCTGGCTCTTTAAATCAAAAGCCAGCCTGAGGGCCAATAAAAGAAAAGAAGGGTTCTGTTAGGTTTGGGCAGAAGTAGTTTGGTGTGGTTTTGGTGAGGGAGTTGACTGGAGCGCTGGATGAGGGGGTCACCTCAGGCAAGGCTGAAAGTTTAGTTAGAATTGCATTAGGTTTTTTTTTAACTGTGTTGTGTGAGTTGAAACTTATTTTCTTTTGGTACCTTTAGTAAAGTTTATTTTTTGTTTCAATCCTGATCTTCTATCACCTGCCTCATCTTGGCTGAGCTATAGACTCCTAAAGTTTTGCTTTGGTTTCCCTTTGGTGTTTGGCCAGATCAGGGGTGAGGATTTCCCCTTTAATCTTCTCCTGGTTCCCCTGGTGTGGCAGGGAGAAGCTGGTTTATAATGAAGAGATGGAGGCAGCAAGGAGACCTAATTGGCCAGTCATTGTTCACCCATAGGCACAGTTACCTCAGAACTGAAGGACCTCAGAGGAGGGGCTGGTTTGGCCCTAAAAGTACCCTTTTTCTCTCATTACATCACCAACATGGAAAAAAATGCCTTCCATTGAATTTTCTAAGTAATTTGCCTTTGATTAATTCCAGCATGATTAATTCGTATGATTAATACTGTATGAAACCAGTTGATCTCTCTTCTGTTTCTACCTACCAAGGAATCTATGCATCTACCAAAATATGGATTTTATAATTTAAAACAACAACAATGGAAAGCAATGATTATCTCCTTGCTGATTTTTCTCAGTAAGCATTGGGAATCCCTGAATGAAGTTACAATCATGTTCTTGAAACTTTTTTGGAAATTCAAAAACTTGCAAATACTTAGTAATGTCATCTGGCCTAAAACAGGTAATTTGGATATTGGCAAAATTGAAATGATTTAATTAGAAACATGTTTGTAAACTGCTCCTAGAATTTCTCTGGCTGCAGAACACGTTTTTTTTTTAAAAAAAAAACTTTAAGCAGAAGATGACGACTTCTTCTTCTTCTTCTTCTTCTTCTTCTTCTTCTTCTTCTTCTTCTTC